TTTTTTTTAAAAGCAATTGAATTTATTTACAAAATCGAAAAGTACTGCGCCATCTATGAATGTCAACATTTCAAAAAAAAAAATTTAAGAGTCATCTAACGGTAAGTTGTAAGAACTTTTCGCTAAAAACGAAAATCAATAAATTCGTTTTCGAAATCATTTTAAAGAAATTTGTTTTTTGTTTGTATTTTTAAGGAATTAAACTGAGATTTATTCAGATTTTTTTTTTTTTGGTTATTGATCATTATGGATCGTCTATTTCCAAATCATCGTAATCATCGCCATAATCGTCAACAATTTCTATTAGATTTTTGGCTAATTTGTTTGGTTATAATATTCATTTTTTTATATCTTTTGTTTGGATCAATGTTGTTATTCAAAAGAAATCGATTAAATTTTCAAAATATACCCGAACCGTATAAAGATTTTTGATGGTCACAACAGCAACAAAACAGACAAAATTTCACACATACACCAAATAAAATGTAACTTTCTAAATTCCAAAATTCAAACAAAAACAATATTTGTAAAACAATATTACAACATTATAAAATGAAATAAAAATCTTTATAATTTGTATTTTTAAAAATAATTTGTATATGCAATATTATTATTATCATTGTTATGGTTAAATGTTGTTTCCAATTGATTATTATCATCATCATTATTATAAATCGGTATGGTAGTGGTGGTTGTAACGTTAAAATTATCAATATTGTTTTCAAACATAATTGAATTATCATCATTACCAGCAGTATTATTATTATTATTATCGTTGAATGTTTGATTGGAAAAATAAAAATCATCAGCTGCAGCTACTGCCGAAATAGTTGCTGTTGATTGATTTTGATCCAAATTACTGGTTGAAAAAAATGAATTTAAATCATTAAACGGATTGATTTGTTGATCGATTGGATTAAAATATTGTTGTTGTTGTTGTTGTTGATCATCATTATAATAATTTTCCATCATTACAATATTTTCATTCGTTATAAAAGGATTATTTGGTTCAGGTGGTTCAATCATTGTTGTTGTTGTTGTNAAGAAATTTGTTTTGTTTGTATTTTTAAACTGAGATTTATTCGGATTTTTTTTTGGATTATTATTGATCATTATGGATCGTCTATTTCCAAATCATCGTAATCATCGCCATAATCGTCAACAATTTCTATTAGATTTTTGGCTAATTTTTTTGGTTATAATATTCATTTTTTTATATGTTTTGTTTGGATCAATGTTATTATTCAAAAGAAATCGATTAAATTTTCAAATTATACCCGAACCGTATAAAGATTTTTGATGGTCACAACAACAGCAACATACAAAATAAAATACACCAATAAAATGTAACTTTCTAAATTCCAACAAAAACAATATTTGTAAAACAATATTACAACATTATTATGATATAAAAATGAAATTAAAATCTTTATAATTTGTATTTTTCTTTAAAAATAATTTATATATGCAATATTATTATTATTATCATTATTATTATGGTTAAATGTTGTTTCCAATTGATTATTATCATCATCATCATTATAAATCGGTATGGTAGTGGTGGTTGTAACGTTAAAATTATCAATATTATTTTCAAACATAATTACATTATCACCATCACCAGCAGTATTATTATTATTATCGTTGAATGTTTGATTGGGAAAATAAAAATCATCAGCTGCTGCTGCTACTGCCGAAATAGTTGATTGATTTTGATCCAAGTTGTTGTTCAATGAAAAAAATGAATTCAAATCATTAAATTGATTGATTTGTTGATCGATTGGATTAAAATATTGTTGTTGTTGTTGTTGTTGATCATCATTATAATAATTTTCCATCATTACAATATTTTCATTCGTTATAAAAGGATTATTTGGTTCAGGTGGTTCAATCATCGTTGTTGTTGTTGTTGTTGTAAAATGACTTGCAATATCCGAATAGATTACATTTAAATCATGCCAATTATCAACTACAGGTATCGATTCATTTGTATCGATTGTATCGATTGTTGTTTGATTATTATTATTATTAAATTGATGATGATCATTATTATCATCATTGATGAATGATCGATTCCAATCAATCAAATTTGTATCATTCGTTGATTGATCCGTAAATTGATTTGAATGATAATTATCAAATGATGATGACCAGTAATGATGATGATGATGATTATATGATGACTGCTGTTGTTGTTGATCACCATCCATGATATTTGTCGGCCAATTTGAATTTGTTACCTGTTCATATTGTTGTTGTTGTTGTTCAAGTTGTTCTGTTTTTGCAAATGAAAAAAAAGGTAAAAAAAATCACCAATCAAAAGTCAAAAATCATCAATCAAAAATCAATCAACATTTACCATATTGTAATTGCCATTTATGAATATTTTTTTCCACTTGTTCAATAATCATTTCATAATGTTTAAATTGATCAATATCGTTGTTGTTGTTGTTGTTCAAATCAATTTTATTACTATGATTTTGATTATTATTATTATTTAAACGTATTGTTTTTAAAATTTGTTTAAATAAATCAAAACCATTACGATAATTATAATAAATTGTTTCAAGAATTAGGTTCAAATCTTTTTGCATTGCTATTTTTGATGATGATAATGATGGTAATGTTGTTGTTGTTGTTTCATTCAAATCATTACAAATTTGTTGTTGTTGTTGATCAACAACAACAACATTCATTAAATATTCTTGCGATTGTTGTTGTTGTTGTTGTTCATGATGAATATTCATCGATGTTAATGATAAAGATTGATTTATATCATCATCGTTATTATCATTATTGTTATTATATAATAATTGGTAGTAGTAGTAACAAACGACCCAAACGTTAACTTTACTTCATTTATCCTTTAAAGATGTTTATTTTTGAAAGAAAAAACTGAAATTTGATCGATATGACACGTACTTTATTAATAATTTTTTCGTTATCGTTGTTGTTGTTAATTGAAATGAGAAATTTACGTATTGTGAAAATTTATCGATTTAAAAAAATTTCAATTATGAGGAAAATTAAAAAAAAAATCCATTTATAACTGATTTTTTGAAGCAAAAAAAAAAACAAACATACAACCATCATTTATCATCAGATAATAAATGTCCAAAAAAAAGAAAATAATTATAATTAAAATTAAAAAAACGAATGAAGGTTAATTTTGTAATTTTGAAAAATTGGTAAAAAAGAAAATAAGCCGGTGCCATCTAGCGATCGGTTGAGGAAACTTTGTTTTTGTTTTCTCTTCTAAATTATTTCTAAAGATGATGAATTTACATTTGTAAATTTATTATCAAACCAAATTTGATTTAAAAATTGTTTAAAAATTTCTATTCCTATAATTTTTTTCTTATATTCTATTTGTTGTTGTTGTTGTTGTTTTGGTTGTTGATCAGTTTTAATTTCAACAGTACATCTTGGTAATGCTTGTTTTGAATCGTTTGATTGATTTGAATCAATCGATTGATGATCCTCATCATCATCATCATCATCAATGTGGATTGTCAACGATGATGATGATTCATTTGTTGACATTAAATTATCATTTGATGATTTTCTAGTTTGACAATCACCATCACCAATATCATTACCATCATCATCATTACCATCATTATTATGTTTTTCATTGGAAAAATTTTGTTTTTTCAAATCAAAAATCATTGAATAATAATGTTGTTGTTGTTGTAATTGTAATTGTTGTTGTCTATAACGAATAAATCGATTCGATGTATTTATAATATTGGCAATAAATTTCTGTATACGTATTATACAGAATAAATAAAATGAAAATAATAGACAAACATTAACGATAATAATTAATTCGGTTGTTTTCATTTCCATTGATGATACTGATGATGATTTTGTTGTTGAATTGTTTGATTGATCCATAATTGCCTGTTTTTTTTTTTAATCAACTTGAATAAATTGCTTTTGCTTCTGGTTTTTTTCTGGTAAATTTCCCGGGAATAACGATAAAAATCTGAAAGATATGCGCAGAAAGAAAATTATAAATCAAATGTAATGGAGAGGTATTCAAAAGGATTATATCTTTTTTCTTTCTTTTATTTAATTTCAATGTTACTTTGTTATTTGTAATGCAGGTTTTTTATTATTTTTGTAAATTAAATTCAGGTAAAAGTTTTTATTTTTTTATTTTCTTGATGAAAACCAGTTTTTTTTTTGGTTTGATTTTCTCTGTTTTTTTCCTCTTATCAAATTTGTTGTTGTTGTTGTTGTTATGTAATCAAATCGAAACAACAACAAATACTTGCTTGAACAACCACAAATTATGACACAATTTTCTCTCTCTCTCTCTCTCTCTCTCTCTCTCTCTCTCTCTCTCTCTTGCCTTGTCAGTTTTTCTTCTTCGTCACTTTTTTTTCAATCAATTCTATTTTCGATCAATGAAAATCAATTTTCATTGAAGGAAAGGAAAGGAAAAGAAAGAGAAAAAAATAATAAGGTTATGCTATGTCATTCTGTGGCTCCCTGTCATTTTTTATCCTTTAACAATGATGATTGATCAAAAGTGAACAAAAAAATTTCAAAGTAAAGTTTGATTTTTTTTCTGGTCGTTGATGATATTTGATTCAAACTACTCAACAAACAAACAAACAGCTACAATGTTTATGAAATAACTAAAAAAAACATTTGGTTTTCCTTGAAAAAAAGGAAGTTTCGTTCACACATCATCATCCTCTTTGATCTTGATCATTTGATTTTTGATTTTCTTGATCAAAAGACATTCATTCGGTTACTAACAATGGAAACAACAACAACAACTGCATTAGAATATTTTGGTTTCATCATAACATGGTTTATCGTAATACGTATTATAATAATCAAATGGTTATGGCAATTATTAAAATATTTATGGATATTTTATCTACAAAATCCACAAAAACATTATCAAAAATATTTTCAATTATCAACATCATCATCGACAACATCGGCATCATCGACAAAATCAAATGGCTGGTCAATAATAACCGGTGGTACTGATGGTATTGGTTTAGCTTATTGTAAACAATTAGCTAGATTTGGTTATCGTTTATTTATCATTAGTAGATCAATTGATAAACTGGAATCAATACGTTCAGAATTATATGAACAATATCCACAATGTCCTGAAATACGTATATTTCAATTTGATTTTTCGGAAAATTTTGAATCAATAAATTATGATCGATTAGAAATTGAAATTGAAAAATTATCAAAAATCAATATTTTAATCAATAATGTTGGTATTTCATATCATACAACCGAATATTTTACAAAAATATTACAACAAGAACCAAAATTTAATGAAAAAATAATTAATGTTAATATTGTATCTGTATTACGTTTAACATTGATTTGTTTACCTAAAATGATTGAACAACAACAGCAAGGTATCATTATTAATATCAGGTAACCTTTTGATAATTTTACTTTACATTTACTAAATTTTCATTCATTCATTCATTCATTTCATTTCAGTTCATTATCAGCAATATGCCCTATGCCATTATTATCATCATATTCCGCAAGTAAAGCATGTATAGATCATTTTACACAATGTTTACAATTAGAATTACAACAACAACAAGAAAAATATCAACCACAAATTCATTTACAAAGTATATTACCTGGATTTATAGCAACAAAAATGTCAAAAATGTTACCATCATTAACAGTACCAACAGCTAATAATTATGTAAAATTATCATTATTATCAATTGGTCATACAAATCGTACATTTGTTTATTTTTTTCATTGTTTACATAATCAATTATATCAATTTTTTCATTATTTTTCTTTTATAAATTTTTATCAAATTATTGCTTTTAAACAAATGTTAAAATTACGACAAAAATATTTACAAAAACGTAAACAACAAAAACAAAAAATTCAATAAAAATTCAATAATCATGTTACTTACCGAAATAACCGAATGATAATTTGATCAACAAGTGTCCAACCAGCAAAAAAGTTTTTGTTTGTAATTTTTTCGTTTGTTATAACGATGATGACAATCAACAAGATCTGTTATCCGAATCCGAATAAAAATTTACCCTTGCACATCAACCAAACACAAACATAATTGGCTTATGTTTGGTTATATTTCTGAATCCACTACGATTATCATCATAGATGGTGTGTTTGGTGCTTGATGCTTGAAACCAAACCACCGCCATCATTATGATTACCACCAATAAAAGCCATTTTGTCCGACACCCCATATCACACACTTGTTTGGTTTTTTCAAAAAATGAAATTTCTGTTCTATGATCATAATCATATAATCAACACTAACATCACCACCACCAAACATCATTCCATAATTCAAAAGCATTGATATTCAAATTTCACTTTCTCTCTCTCTCTCTCTCTCTCTCTCTCTCTCTCTCTCTCCCACTCAACAAAATACAAGTTTTTTTTCAAAATGTCAAATTTTTGAATAATTTTTCATTATTATTTATCGATGATGATTATGATCATAATCGATACGATTCAACAATTACCTTGACAATTTTTCTAATTCATTCATTTCATCCAGAAAAAAACATCAACAACAAAACAAAACAAAAACAAANAACATCATTCCATAATTCAAAAGCATTGATATTCAAATTTCACTTTCTCTCTCTCTCTCTCTCTCTCTCTCTCTCTCTCTCTCTCTCTCCCACTCAACAAAATACAAGTTTTTTTTCAAAATGTCAAATTTTTGAATAATTTTTCATTATTTTTATCGATGATTATGATCATAATCGATACGATTCAACAATTACCTTGACAATTTTTCTAATTCATCCATTTCATCCAGAAAAACCATCAACAACAAAACAAAACAAAAACAAACGAAATATCTTGACTTGTTACATAATCTACCAGAAAAAAAAAGTGTAAACATTTAAAAAAAATTGTTTGTTTGTAATAAGATTTTGATCTGAGAACATTTTTTTTCCTGAGGAAAAATATTTCAAGAATTTGTCGTCGTCGTCGTCGTTGTTTGAAGCAAAACCATCATCATCATGAATATAAAAATGTGGAAAAATATTGAAAATTTTCAACAATTTTTTATTGTTAATAAAATGGAAAATCTAACAACAGCAACAACCGAATCATCGATAATATTAACATCATCATCATTATCGACTATTTCTACAGCATTGTTAACAACAACAACAACAACAACAATGATAACACCAATATTATCAAATAATAAAGATATAAATGTTAAAAATTTTCTACATACAGATGAAACAACAACATTTTCAAATTTGGCTATATTTTTCCTGTTTGGTATATTAATTGGTATGGCTATTGGTTTTATTTCATTATTTTTTCGTTGTATGCCATCAACATTACCATTATCAACATCATCAGCATTGAATTATCCCTTGTTCAATAATCAATTTAAACGTTCATCATCATGGTATGATTATTTGGATTTTACTACTTCATCATTCAATAACCACCGTAATCATAATCGTCGATCAAATGACAATAATAATAATGAATCAATGGATCAAATGCCATTGGCAAATTTTTTAAACAGTAATCAAACATTATTATGTGGTCATTGTGGTAATTCGTTTGTAATGAATTTATTACAACAAGAATCAAGTGTTGATGATGGTGATGGTGATGGTGATGATGAACCACCACCACCATATCAAGAAATTTGTCCGAATACTAATGGTAATGATAATTCATTGACAATCAATATTGATAATGTTGATCAGCGACAACCAGAATTATCCGTTGGTAATAATGTTGTTTAAAACTTGACAAAAAAAATTTTTCATTTTTTTTCATTAACATTTTTTTCATAAAAATAAAGTTTTTTTTCTTTTTCCTTTTTTTGCTGTTGAAATTAATCCTTGAAAATCCTTTGGTTATGGTTTTGTTCATTCCATTTCTTCTTCTTTGTTTTTTTTACAAGTGCCATATGGTCAAAATAAATGATGATGATGATGAATGAAGGCCATTGTGATGGTTGTGAAATGAAATGTTTTTTTGTTTTTTGAATAAAATTAAAAAATTTTACTTTTTTTTGTCACATTTTTCCGCCACCAGATGGCTGAATATATTTTATAATAACAATTAAAAAAAATGATGGTAGAAGCATTGAATATAGGCTGGAGAAGAATGGTATTGTATCATATTACTGTACTACTACTACTTTGTGGCAATTTTTGTTTGTTTTGAAATTCGAATTTTTTTTTTTGCAAAAGAAATTTTCTCGTCAAATGTAAAGGTGATTTGAAAAGAAAACTTTCTGGAAAATTTTTTTATATCCAAAAAAAACCAAAAAACAAAAATTCTGAAAAAACAAAATACGCTAGGCTAATTTCCTTGACTTTGCTGCTGTTAGTATTATAATAAGGGGTGATTGACATAAATTTTTGGCTGAATTTTACTCGAGAAAAGCAAAAAAAAGTAGCAAATTTCAACAACAAACTGATATACGACGGGTATATAGCAAGAAGAAAAGAAAGGAAAAAACGATTCATATATAGCCCCATGAAATGAGGCCAAAGAGGAGAAATGAAATGAATAAAAAAAAATCCCGACCAACACCCACAATAAAATGCGGTAATTTCGCGATTACCGCTACTGACGACCGTTTTTTTTGTTGATTTGCCGATTATGCAATCAAAAAAAAATTGAAATGAAAAAAAATGTTTTTTTTTCATACCGGAATCAAAAGAATTTTTTTCTTTTTTTTTGTTTGAAAAAATGAATTTTATTCATTCAATCAAATGATGAATAGTAACCATTTAACCATCCATCCACCCACACACACACACACACACCCGAAAAACACCCACCCACACAATATATAATACCATGGGCAAACTCAGTAGATTTTACTGTTAAGAATATATTTATGTTTGTTGTCATGGACGACATAGGAAAATGATGTAAATGTATAAAGGGATTTTGTTTTGTTTTCATGAATGAATTTTCAATATTTTGTTTCAAAAGAAAGAAATTTAACTGATGAAAAATGTGCGTTTTTTTCCATTCTATTGTTTCTTTGTTTCGACATTGACATTTTCTTTTTCATTCGATTTTAGAAATTTTTTGAAACCAAACAAAAGGGTAACATTTTAATGATGATGATGAGTAGGTGTTAATGTTGTTTTATTCGAATGTTTCTTGGATTCGAAATGTTTGTTTTGTTTTGTTTAATTGAACAATCAGGATCGAAATAGTTATCCTTAACAAAAAAAATGCGAATGAATGAATGAATGAAAAAAAAAGATTATACTTTGTGTTTTTATAGCCGTTCTGTCTGTCTGTCTGTCTATATTGTCTTGGCAAAATAACACACACTGCACAGACAGAGAGCAAGTACAACAAAAAAAGAAAACAATTTTACTCAAGCTTTGCTGTGTGTTTGGGTTAATGTTGATGTTGATGATGATGATGATGATGATAGTTGCTTGTGTGGATTTAGACACCGCTCAATGTTTTTCTTTTTCATCGTTTCGTTCGTTTTTGTTCGTTTGTGGTGTGTGTATTTCAATTATCATTGAAATTCATTCATCAAAATTTGTTTTTGTTTGAATGAAAATAACTTTTAATTGAAAAAAAAATTCATTCGATCCAAAATCGATTGCCTTCGTTTGGCCATCATCACAACAACAACAGCAAAAAAAAGGTTAATTTTGAAAGGTTTTTCTGAATGATGAAAGAAACCTTGAATTAAATTTGATTTTTTCTTTTGTTTTGTTGTTTAGTTCCGAATCTGGAGATTGTTTGATTTGTGTTTGTGCATTTATGACGTGCGAAAATCCAAAGAAAATGATTTTTTTCAAAATTTGAACAAAAATTCGACATTCAAAAACAAACAACAACATCTACCATAATAACCAACCAACAATCAAAAATCACGATCACGACGACGACCATCATCATTATCAGCAACAACAAATACATTTAGCTAAATTTAGATCAAAATCAAATCAGCATATTCAACAACGAATATCTTTACTTTATTTATTTATTTTTTGTGACTGAGAATTTTTGTAGATTTAAAAACATCAAGAAATATTTATCAATTTTCATCATCGAATGTTTGATTTTTCGCATTTTCATTGAAAAAAACCTATGCATTTTCTTCTTCGGGCAATATTCTCTTGATTTTGCATTTTGTTTTGTGGCTGCCAAATTCTAATAGTTTCGGTGTTTGTGTTTCTGTGTTTGTGCTTCGAATTTATCCTATGTGGAATTATTATTAATAATTTTTGTTTGTTTGTTTTGAATTTAGACAATGTTTTCTGTAATTTTGTAAGTCATCCTTATTATCATAATTTTCAATTTTAATTGTAAAAATTTTCTTACTTTCCAAAGTAATAATAGATTATCATTATAATAAATTATAACAAATTTTGTAAATTAAAAACAAAAATAGTAATAATAATTTAAAGTTAAAAATGGCAAAAAAGAAGAGTAAGTTTTTGTAATTAGTTTGTAATGATGAAAATTTTATAAATTATTATTATTTTCTAAATAACTAGGTGGAAAAAAGAAAAAACAAAATCGTAATAACAATAATAAATCAATAAATAATAAAAATATAACATCACCATCATCATCATCATCTTGTCAGATTTCATCATCAACGACAACAACAACAACAACGAATATTGAATTATTAGATTCGGCAAAAGAATTTATAAATCATGTTGATTATGGCGATGTTGATATTCGATTAGATCAACATCTTACACAACCAACAACAATATTACCTTTAAATTCATCTGGAAAACAATTGAATGGCAATAATAATTTAGATTTACAAACAAATCGATGTTTAAATCATCATCGTCATTATAATCAAAATGTTAATGATGTTATGATTGATCGATTAAATAATGATAATAATAATAATGCCGATATCAATAATATCAATACCAATAATAATAATAATAATAATAATGATTATATTCATACACCGGATAGTGAAGAGGATACAATTTCATTTGAAATCGATAATGATAATGATAATGAAGATGAAGATGAAATTGATGCTGTATTTAATAATGAAATTTCTGAACCAATCAACAAATCAATTGATGGTCAATATGATCGATTTGTAGAATCGAAAATGATGAAACCGTCAACAAAAACAACAACGAATCAAGCATCCACATCATCATCATCAGTAAATCATAAAAATTCTTCACTAATATTTAATCATAATAATGATGATGATGATTGTTTAGAATTATATTCGAATAATCAATCATCGATACAATCGATACCACCGTCAATACAATCATCATCATTATCATTTGAAAAATCTAATAAACATCAACAATCAAACAATAATCATATTCTTCATCATCCAATACAATTGAAAAATTCAATGTTTTTTCCTGTTATCAATGCCAATGATGATGATGTCGATGATGATGACGATGAAAATGTTATCGATGTTGTTACAAATAATGATTCAAATTATATTTATGAAATATTTCGTCAACAACAACAAAATGAATCAACAAATCATCATCATCATTTATGTTATTATTCGAATACAAATCAAAAACCTAATGTTAATGATAATGATGATGATTATATAAATGAAATAATATCAATAAATAATCAATGTCCTTATCATCATAATAATTATAAAAATTTACAAATAATACCAACAACAACAACAACAACAACAACAAATGAACAACATTTATTTGAACATTATCATCAACAATTTGATATTAGAAATATTGTAAATAATAATGATAATGATGATGATGATAATCTTCCATTAAATCAATCAAAAAAATTAATTTTTATAAATAAAAATCAAAATACAAATACAAATCATCATCATCATCATCATCCATTTATAATACAACGTTCTGAATCTGAAGATAATATTATTTATCATTCATCGATAAGATTAAAATTTGAAGATGATGATTATGATTATGATGATATACCGTCCATTGTTAATAATAATAATAATGATATTTTACAAATACAACCACATTTACCGCCGATACCTCCACCACCACCACCACCACTTCCTAGAAAATTATTTGAATTACAACATCAGCATCAGCAACAACAACAACAAAATGCAATAAATCTTCCATTATTGGCAACAACAACAACAACAACATTGCCAAATTTAAATAAAAAGAAAAATAAAAAGAAAAAAAATAAAAATAAACAACGTAATCAACAACAACAACAACAAGCCAACAATGATCAAAGGTAGGATTTTTTTGTTTTCAAATTTTTGAATTTTTCTGATGAAAATTTTTGCAGATATTATCCTGAAACAACAACAACAACAGCAACAATATTCAACAATCCATTGATTGATCCGGGTGACAATGATATTGATGATGAAATTCAACATTACATGTAAGTTGTTAAGGATTTTTTCTTTTATTTTCGTTAACTAAAAAAATGTAGTTTGATCAAGTTTATGGCTCTTTTTTTATTGATTTTTGTTTTTGTGAATTTCTCTCATTAATTAATTAACCCCTTTTTTTCCAGCAGCAAAAAAAACATTATGTAACCATAAAGTGTCAAACGAAAACAATCAATTATTATTATTATCATGTGTGTGTAACCTGATAATTTCTGGTTATTAATTTATTGTTTTACACACATTCCACACACACACACACACATAATTCCACACATTCATAAACTTTCATACACCACATAAAATTTGGAAATTTTTTTTTTTTGATCATTTGACTTAACACATTCCACATTACTTCAGTATAATGATGATGATAAATTAGTCACGAATTGAAAATTCAAAAAAATAGAATATTTTTTTCTTGTTTTTGAAAAGCTAGAATTGATTGATTGACCAGTGAACAAAAAAACAAAAACTTTTTTGTTTTTGTTTGAAAATTCATAACAGGAATTCAATGAACAAAAACAAAAAACAAAGGATATGTGTTTTTCCCTTTCAATATTGAAAATAATAATGATGATGATTAACCTTGAACTGCAAACATAAAAACAGAAAAAAAACAATTATCATCATTTCAAATGAAACAAATTCTCTTTGAAAAGATATTCTTTTCATTTCATTTGATTGAATGAATGGAGAGAGAGAATTTAGGTTACTAACCAACCATATGATGATGATATAATGATAATGATAATGATGATGACGATAATTTTTCTAAACAACAACAACAGAAAATTTAATAAAGTTAAAATACCACCATTTTATTATTATTATTATTGATTATAACCAATTATTATTAATGATAATTATGATTATTATTATTATTGGGCAGGTAGATAGTCAGGTAAATTATCATTAATTTTTTTTCGTTTTTCTATTTTTGGATTTTTCATATTTCCACATATTTGTGGATCGTGATCAAATGAATGAATTGAATATATAAGTGGTTACGATATATGTGAATTTTTTTTTTGGTTTTGGCTTTTGAAAAATTTTCATTTTCAATTCTATTAAATCCTCTTTATTATTAATAGAAATATTTCAAAAAAAGATTTTTTTTAAAAATAATAAATTAACCGAATGAACTGAATGAACATTATCATTATCAACATTATTAATATGAATTCTGTTTGTAGTTTTTTTTAACCCAGGTGATGATTATGATCATTATCATAATGATAATTATGATGATGATTATTATTATGATTTTTTTAATTCTATTCAAAATTCTCTGTTGTGTTTTTTAATGAGAAATTTTTTTATGTTTGTTTGTTTTTTTCGACTTTTTCGTCTCTTCATTATGATTGTGATGATGATGAATAATTTAACCGGCATTATCGTTAATAATTTTTTTCTTCTTTAGTTGGTTTAGTTTTCACCAAAAAACCAAAATCAAAACATTGATAAATCAATCTCTCAGTGTTTTTTTTTATTTATTTCTTAATTTCAATGATGATGACGATCGAAAAGACAAACCAATCTTTTCATTGGCGTTATTCCATTGGCATTTCTATCCCAAAAAAACAAAACAAAATTCTTGACTTTTCTCTCTTCCTATGTCCATTAATGATTTAGATTCCCGATTCTCATATTTTATATATCAATCACACACACATATTGTCAGTTCTGTTGTTGTTTTCCATGATGATGATAATGATAGTCCAAAAATTGTTTTTGTTTTTTTTCTGTTTTTCATACGTCATACGTCATTCCATAATCATCATCATAATTTCTAGGTATCATTTTCACAAAATTGGTTGGTCTTTCTCTCAAAATGTTGTTGTTGTTTTCAATCAAAAGAAAAATTCATTGAAATTCATTGGCGTCATTCATTCTTTGGCGGGGGTTTTGTTCCATTCTGTACAAAAAATGAATGAATTCTTCGTACAGAATTCTGTGCAAACAATATTAATTTCAAAAAAAGAGAAGAGTTACACCCAAACAAAAAGCGAAAAACGAAATTTCCATCATTTGATCAGTTTGTTTTGTTTGTTTGATATTTTCAATGTCAAATTTTTTTGAAATTAATTTTTTTTCTGTTTTCGTTTTAATTGTTTTTTTTTGTTCAAACTTTTTTTTCCCATTATTATTATCGTCGTCGTCATTCTGAATTCGTGAAAAATTGACATTTTGAATTTATGAAATGAATTGAAAGCAAAAGCAAACAAACCTGGAATTAACTAAATTTTTTTTTTGAATGAGTTAAAATAGCCGTTTTTGTTGGCTATTTTAACCCAGAAAGAAAAAAAGAAAAAAAAAAGATTTACAATAATATCCTTGTTGTTGTTGTTGTTTTACAAAAGATTAAAATTCCACAGTAGAATATTCTGATAGTAGTTTCGATTACAACAACAATGACGATGACTTTTGGATTCTTTCTTTTTGTTTTGTTTGTTTGTTTGAAATGTGATACCCAAAAAACCAGAAAAAAAAACATTTTTTTTGTTCAAGTATTCGACAACACATCATTATTATTATTACCAGAAAAAAAACCAGAAAAACGAACATGAACAACAACAACAAAAAATCACCACCCATGTAAACAACCAGAAAACCAAAAACCAGGAATATTCTTATGAATTGATTCGTGACTTGAATATTTTTTATGTAAAATATTAGTTTTCAATGAGAGAGAGAGAGCGAAGAGAAAAACTTGAATTAGCTAACTTGTTTTTTTGTTTTCTGTTTTGTTTGTTGTATATAATATTTCAAAATGAAAAATTTTCTTTTTGGTTTTTTGCAATCTGATTCCTGGAATATAAATTGGTTTTCAGGAATTTTCTCTGTTTTGCTGTTGTTGTTTATAACAGGCAAAAAGTGAAGGAAAAAAAATATTCCAAACCATTTTGTTTGGGGTTAAAAAAAAATAACACACACTCACCACACACACACACAGGAATCCAATGACACGTTATTTATTTATTAAGTGGTTATTAAGTTTTTTCTTCATCGATTTTCTTTGGGTTTTGTCTGGGTTTTTTCTTTTTCTTTTGGGTTTCTTTGGTTAAATGAAATAAGTTTTTCTTCTGGGTGCGTCATCGACATATATGAAGGTTTTTCTTTAATATCGAAAATTAATAGTTACTTTTTCTGGTTGGTTTGTTAGGGTTTGTTGAGGGAGAAAGAAAATTTCCAAAAATCCTTAATTTTTTTACATACGGTAATTGTTAATAAATGTTAATTTTCTATTTCCAGGTAAAAAAAAAGTAGAAAAAAATTTCAAATTCAATAAGTAGGTGTATGTTTTTTGACTATGTTTTACCTGGTTCAAAATGATAAAACTAACTAAAGGTGAAAAAATTCCTTTGAAAATAAAAAAAAGTTCAGCCCATTTTTTTTTTGTTGCCTCATTTACGATTCTATTTTCGGATTTTTGTTTTTCTAGAATCCACTACTGCTACTACTATTTTTCGATTCTTTCCTTGATTCTTGTTGTCGATGATGATGATCATCATCATTAGATATATATCGTTTACAAACACACACACACAGAATATTCTGCTGTTGTTGATGATGATGATGAAATTTTGATACACCTCCGCACACACACATGCACGAATTCCAAATGATCAGCTTTTTTTGAAAACCATTGATTTTTGTTGTTGTTTTTTTTTTCTTTTGGTTTTTTTTTGATCGGCTGACACTAATAAAATAAAAACGTTGGTTGATCATACGAAAAAAAATGTAAAATTTGTCGCGAAAGAATGTTGATTATTTTTTGATTTTTCGGAAAAATTTTCGAGAAATTTTTCGAGAAATTTCATAATGACGTTTGCTAATATGATGGCCGCATCATCAACGGCCAAAAGATCAACATCATCATCATCATCATCGTTAACATCATCATGTTTATCCGTGAATAATCGTCAAGCAAATTTGAATGTTGTTGATGATGATGATGATGGATGTCAAGATGAAACTGATAATGATGATGATGATGATGATGCAGATGATAAACTCAGTGTTAATCATCATCAACAACAACAACCGAATTTAAGTGTCCAAAAATCTTTGTATCCAAAAATTATTTATACAAAATGTCCAACTTTAAATCTACCATCATCATCATCATCATCCGAATCAGAATCATTAACAACAACAACATTGACAACAACAACAACAACAAATACAAGTGGATGTTGTACAAGTAGTTTAATTGGTGTTAATCAATTAATACGTTCTGTATTTTTTTGTCTTAATCCATTAGTTTTTCCAACAACTAAAACAACAACAAATTCTTCTTGTAATAATAATTTAACAACAACAACAACAACAAAATTTGATTATAAAGAAAAATTTCGTAATACATTACCATTGAAATTATCATTAACAAATAATACAAAATATCATCGTTCAAAACGTTGTCAACGTAAACAAATTTTACCATTAATAACTAATAATAATAATAATAATTTAATAATTAAGCCAAAAATTATTGTTAATGATGATGATAATCAATTGTAAGTTGGTTTTTTTTTGTAATTTTTGTAATTTTGAATTTTTTTTTGAATTTTGATTTGTAATACCTAGATGGCGTAACTGAAACAAGAATTTTAATATATATATTTTTTCCTCATTACTATATGATTATTATTATGTTCATTTAGGTCAGGTTGACTATGACTCTATGACATATCTGATATATAGACTTTTAAAAAAAAGTAAAAAAAAAAATAATGAAGAAATAAAAATGAAAGTAGAAAAAAAAACATCAAAATGTCGTATTGAATAAATAATGAAGATAAATTGAAACCGAACCTAAACCAAACCAAACTAACGAAAAAAAAAGTGAAAAAGTAAAAGTAATGAATCCCTGAAACTTTTTTAAGTGGGATTTTTTTTTCTTACGAAAACGACAACGATGATGATGATGATGTAAGAATTTTACTTTAATTTTTTCTTTTTTTTTTCTCTCTCTCGCTCTTATCCATAA